CCTGTCATGAATACGGTTCAGTGCTCACCAACACTGGAAATATTTCCTGGAAAGGATGGGTAGCTTAGGCCCAGCTAACCCAAGGGGGCTGTCGGGCAACAGTAAATGGCCTGAACAACAGAATTCCCCATCACTGACAAGACTCACTGCACATGCACATTTTAGACATCGGCACAGTGCAGGCTCAAATGAGGACCCTTGATGGAGCAGCTGCTCTGAAACAGAGGCATCCCCATTCCACCCTACGCTCAACCAGCAGGAGCTGCGTGGGACAGGTCTTGGTTGGGAGTTGCTCTTTGCACATCTAAGTGTGGGGGTGTCCATGCAAATATCCTCCTAGCTGCTCAGAAGAAAAAGGAATGTTAGGGCTTCCCTTGTTCTTTTTCTCCCTCTCCAGATTGATGTGAGAGCTGGGAGAATGTCTCCCTGCAATTTTTTCTGTGCAAAATGTTAGTATGGGACTTGTGCCTTCACTCTTAGCATATGCTCTCTCCCACACCGCTACCTTCCTCTGCACCACATAGCAGCGTGATCCTGAAGCAGATGGATCTGGAAGGAGATCTCTTCCCCTGGTCAGAGGCAGTTACTGCTGCCACTGCCACCCCAGGACTGTTAATAAATAAGAGCCAGGGGAAATCAAGTGAGGAGATGGCTCCCCTCAGTTCAGACGTAAGAGCAGGAAGGCTGGTAGGTTCAGGGGATCATTAGCAATCTCCGGGATAGTTCTACCTTTCTAGGTATACAAATGTAAGCCTGCCAAGCCAGCATGATGGTGGCATGCAATGGGAAGTCCGTCCATCCAGACACTGGGCAGTGACATGTTGATGAATGGCCTGCAGTTTAATATGTAGCTGATGCCACTTCTCATTTGTCTTCAGCATCATAACATGAAAGCCACTTTGGGGGGCAGCCAGAATGCAAGCACACAGCCTTTATCTTCAGCACAGGGACCCTGCATTATAAGCATACAAGCATGGCACTTACCTTTCAGGATGGTGATGTTGATGTAAGGCCGGACCTCAGGCATCGGGTAGGGCAAAGAGTGGCGGCTGGCTGGGTCAGGAGCCGACTCATGAGAATTCAGTGGGTCGCAGCAGCGTCTGCAACTGCTTGGGGTGGTGGTCACTTCTTTGGGGTCTGGTTCATCCATGGGTACCCCAAACACAAACAGGGGGAGCATGAGGAAGGCCAAGTAAGCCCGCAATTGGATCGTTACCATAGTGACCTGAGAAGATATCGGAAAGTAAGGGAGAAAGACAGAGCCAGGGGACTAGAGGGAGCTAAGATGGAGGGTCAACAGGGAAGGATGGAGGCCTGTGCCTCCATGCCAGATAGCTATCAGCAGTTCACTCACCCTGGGAGCAGAAACGGAGGCAGAGACAGAGTTAGTAACCGCTCTGCAGAGAGGTGCTATTTGGAAGCCTAATGCATAGTCTCTTGAGATCTCATGCTGCAATCCAAGCTGCTGCGGTGTCACTGGTAGGGTGTGCCCAACGCCCAGCAGTCTGGACCCAGTGGAGACTGGGGCAGTGCCATTGTAGGCAGATCTGATCTCTGGAGCCTACAGCATCAGTGCCAGAGACTAACCACTGGCACCCAGGGCACCACAGGCTGTGGATTCAGTCTTCAGGCTGGAACAGGAGGGGGAGAGGAGGGAAATCCAACTGCCTGTCACCATGAAAACAAACTCACCTCTCAGGGGTGAACTGAGAGATAATGGTTCTGACCTCGGAGCATTAAGTACATCCCCTTGAAATACTTACTCCCTTTGTGCCACTGGCAAAGCCAGAAACACACAGGGCCCTGAGCTGATGATCAGACAGATCTGGGGGTAGCGAAGAAGCTAATTCTAGGGTACTCAAGATCTGCCTGCTCTCAGGATAGACTCCACACTTGGTGGGGGAAAAATCCCCCATTATCTCACCCGAAAGCATCAAATCAGCTTCACTGCTTGGGGCAGAGTTGGAGGCATACATCTCATCCATGGGCATTAACACTTGGCTAGGAGCCTCGACCCAAGTATCACAGAACAGGATCTTACCCCAGCAGGCACTGGCAGGGTCCAACCCACCAGTGGGGTCTAGTGGCCTGGGATGCAGAGGCACGGAGCTTGGGCTCCCCCCACTGCCACCTTGGCCAAATTTCTGGTGTGCCTCAGTCTCCCCTCCCCCCTCCCCCCCCCCTTGCTGAAAACCTCACCCTGGGGTGGCCACCAAGGGCTCCTGCCTCGTCCCAGCCTCTCAGCGTCCACCACTTGCCTGGATCCCCACCGTGAGCCCCATTGCTCCAGCTGCTGCTGCTGGCTCCAGCCTGTGCCTCCCACCCCCTCCCCAAGCAGCCAGCTTTGGTTTTTGTGCCTTTAACTCTTTGCTGGGCTTGTGGGACTGGCTAAAGCAGCAGCCTGACGCATCCCAGCCCCCCCCTGTGCCAATGGGGGCTGGCATGCACACAGTGGGGACATTCCCCCATGGGGTCAAGCCCCTCGCACCCTTGCTAGGAAAGCCTCTGCATCCCCTGACGCCCACACACACATACACATACATATCCCTGCCTGATCACATACACACATGCCCCTGCATGATCATACACACACACACAACCTTGCATGATCTTTCACACACACCCATGCCCCTGCATGATCATGTGTGTGCACACACACACACACACCCCTGCACGATTGTGCACACATACATGCACCCCTTCATGATTGTGCGCGCGCGCACGCACACACACACACCCTTTCATGATTGCACATGGACACTCACACATACAACTCTGCCTGATTGCACACATACATGCTCCTGCATAATATCACATGCAGCCAGAACAGGCATGTCCCTCTGTACCTCCCTGCTCTTTCCCCACTGTTTCCTGCTCCCCACTGTCTCTGCTGCTTGGGAAAGCAGGTAAGCTCTTCTTCCCTTGCTGCCTGCCTGACGTTTCCTAAGGCAGCTTGGGCTGGAAAGGCACTGAAGTGTGGTCTTGCTGAGGGGTGCTGACTCCTCCAGGGCACAAGGTCCCCACTAGGTTTCACAGATGTGGGACTCTGCACCCCAGTGTATGTTTGGTGCCAGGTCAGTCTCCTCCTGGCATCAAGGACAGGTGCCAGGTTCTGGGACCCAGAAAGAGAGTCAGAGAGAAGATTCCCTTTGTTATTTGCAGTCCCTCAATCTCATTCCCCACCCCACAGAACAACACCCCAGCCTTGATCCTCCTTTCCCCATGCTGCAAAACGGGATGGAAAGAGACTCTTCCTCAGGTCTCTGGAATAAAGTGAAGCCAGGCCTGACTCTGGCTCATGGCCTGTTCCATGGGATGGAGGGGGTTGGGTAGCAGACGCAAGAGAAGCCATTTTTCCTTTCTGCTGAGGTTGGAAGTGCGGAGTCAGCAGCTTTGTTGTATCTCCTGTAATTTTAGAGGGAAAGTGGAGAACATCTCCCAGCCCTTTGGCTGCTAGGAGGGGATTTTTTTTCCTCCTGAGTGTTTAGGCTGGAAATCTGAGGGCGGCTGTGGCCAGCTCGCTTCCCAGAGAGCAGCTCGTGCTTGGCAAGGGTCCCAGCACCCTTGGAGAAGCAAACGGAAAGTCTGGGAAAATATGTTCAAGGGGAGGAGGGGGAGGGGGAGTGGAGAAAAGAAGCCAAAGGTAGCATGCGTCTGCTTGGTATGCTGGAAGCCACAAATTAATGGAAGTGGAGTGGATTCCCCCTTTGGCTCAGTAAGCAGAGTGGGTGTGACAGGGCAGGGTGTTAGTGAGAGGGACACTCCTAGGTCCTCCTCTGGACTCTGCTACTGACTGGCTGTGAGATCTTGAGCAAGTCCCACTTGCCACACTGTGCCTCAGTTTCCCCATCTGCAGAATGGGGAGACTGGGCCAATTCTCTGCTAGTGGAGTTGGGGCAGAGCTTTGTGCAGAAGGATCCTGAACCATCTGCTTCCCACTGCTGGATCTGGCTTAATCATTCAATAATGTGCATGAAGTGCTGAGGACTGGGTCTCCTGGGAGGTGTGAGGGGGAAAATTGCAGCACTGGGCAAAGGCAGTGCCAGTCTCTGAGATGTCTTGACCTAACCTAGCTCCAGTGGGATCCTTTTCAGTCCCTTTTGCAACTCTCATCCATGGGAGGCATTTTCATTTCAAGGGGAGGTGGTAGGATAGGGTGGCTGGTGTCTCCTCAGCACTTTTCATACCCCATCCTTCTGAGCACTCAGGGCAGGGCATTTTAAGGGATGATTTTGTTGGCCAGTGCCTTTGCCCTTTCATTACTTGATCAGAACAGTGGGGGAATCCACAAGTCCTTGTGTCTACTGGTTTCCAGGAGCAGGCGGCTTGAAGAGCTGTATCAACAGCCCCCTCTTCTGGAGATGGAACTAACACTAGCCAAAAAACTCTTGCTGTTATAGTTTATATCAGTTCCCTGAATGGACTATCCTGTATCAGGCCTTGCATGCCAGTATACCTGCAGCAACAATGGGGTTTCTGCCAATGCAGCTGTCAATCAGGAATGTGGGTTCCATGCCACTAACCAACACAGCTGTGCCAGGAAATCTTTTAAGTGTCGACCAAGCCCAAGGCATCTCCTGTACATAACTCCCCTCCCCCTGCCAAGCACACTCTGCCTTGGAAGCAGCCCAGGAAAGCTCTTGCCAGCTTGGATTCAAGCAGTTGCTGCTGAAGGGCATCTGCTTACCCTGTCCCAAACACAAGCCCAATGTCCCCTTCCTCATGCTTTGTCCCATCATTGCATGCACACAGCCCCAACATGCCCAGGACCACCCAGCCCCGCTCAGCATTGCCTGCTTCTTACCCCCACAACAATGCAGCTCCTCCAGCCTTTGCATACTCATCACATACACACAACTCCCCCTATGCACACATACTCAATTTCTCATAGGTTCACCACACGCCAAGTAGGGCTGCGCTCTTCTTGGATCTGCAGTGGACATATTATCCATATCTGAAGGCAGGCAAAGAATCCCTTCCCCCTTCTTCCCAGCCACGTAAGCAGTTTTCCTTTCCTGTTCCCCCCACTCCCCTAAATCCAATCCAATCCAATCCAATCCAATCCACTCCCCTCCCCTTCCCATTTTTTGGGTACTTTGAGTGAAGCACAGAGAGCCTCTTACCTCTGAACCCCGTAAGCGGGGTCTTGTGCTGGGCTACGTGTATCCTCAGCTGCTCCTTGTTAGCACTGGGAGAGGAGAGGGCGAGCAAGGACCCAGCTGATTGAAACCAGATGCCAGCCAAGTGTTGTTATGTAATTACTGTCTTTTTCATCCTGCCTTGAAGCCTAGTCCTTTATGCAGCTCTCCCCCACACTGGATGGTGCCAGGCTGAGTTCTCTCTCTCCATATCATAACTTACTTGGCTCAACAGCTGATTCTCTTCTCGGAACGGGGCCTTCTCCTTTGGACTAGCGCCAGCCCTTTCCTTAGAAGGAATGAGTGAGTGTTGTCTAGTGGCCACAGCAGGGAAACTGGGAGTCACGATTTCTCAGCAATGTTCCCAACTCTGCTACTGACATCCTGGGTGATCTTGGTCAAGTCACTTGGGCTGTGCTTATGTGATGAACTTGCCAAACACAGCAGTGGTTCTTTCAGGCATGCTGCACCGGTCCAGGCAGGCTGCATCCTGAACCAGTGGCAGTGTAGCTGCATCCAGCCAGCACAGCAAATTGCCTAATTAGCAGCAATTAGGGGTCAGCTAACTGGCTGTCACCCAGCTGTGCTGAGTAGCTTGCCCAAGGTGCCATATGAACATGGTTAAACCATTTTGGGTTCAGGAGACAGCCTGCCTGACGGTGTCATAGACATCCAGGGTGTAATGTACATACATTTGTAGTCTTGCTCTTCTTCAGTGTCCCCATCTGTATAGTGGAATATTCAGCCAAAGTATTGAAAAGCAGCCACCACCAATTTTTAGACCCCTTTAAGGCCTCATAAGTTGGGGGCTCAGAATTATAAGCTGCATCTGATAATCTTGGCCATCATTTTGGCCCTTTGAGGTTGTTGTGAGGCTAAATTCTCCAGTGGTTGTAGAGTTCTGCCTGGAGTACTAAAGCGGCCTTTCAAGTGCCAGAGAGGCCTGAGGGGCAGGCAGGGATGCTGTATTGTGGGATACCTAGAGAGCTGCCTAGCCCACCTGTTGCAGACTCTGTAGTATGACAGACCTAGGGATGTCCTCTGAGATGTTGAGGAACAAAGCAATATCACCTTCCTCCCAGTACACTTCCGTCCTGTTTTATCACGGGTTAGCAGCTGTGCACATCTGTACACTTGCATTCTGTTGTGGGATAAAAACATCTGTCCTGTATCAAACATGTAACAAATGTGATGCTTGTCCATACCCCTGGAGTCCAGGGGCAGGTGGTATTATAACCTCAGAATGTTGTTTTACGTTCCTCATAAGGCAAGTGGCCCTTTGCTCTCATGTAAGGACAAATTAGGGCTCAATGGGGCCCATATCAGCCAGGAATAGGAGGGACAGACTCACCTGTGTCTTTCTGAGAGCAGCTGTCAAATGTTGGGGCCCTCTCCCAAATGGTGGGGGGGAGCTAAGCCTCCCAGTTCACCTGCTCTGTCAGGCCAGCAGTCCAATGTGAGGATGTTTGGTTTACCATGCCAAAGCCATGACACCTCAAGGCTGCGCCAACTGTATTTGCAGTGCTTTGCACTGAGGTACTACAGTGAGGGATTCATCAAAGACACCTCAATGGCAGATGTGCACCTGGCAGAATCAGTCCGGTGGCTGGTTTGGATTCCCACCTACATCACTGGCCATTAATAGACGGATGGCATCCTGTGGTTCATGCGGCCTTCTCCCTCCCCATTCACATTCTTTCCACCTCCAGCCAAACCAGCCATTACGAATGGCTCTGGGCAAAACGTGTTCTTGTCGGATTGGATGGGACTGAACCCTGCTCAGCGGACGGTGTCCCACACTAGGAAAATCCTATTTTTCCATAGATGTCATTTGCGGGAGAGAATTTCCTAGTATCATCTCCCTCTGGGAGACATTTTGTTTCATGAAGCAAGTCAGGATTTTCCCTTGCACCCACTGAGCGGCAGGATGAGATATTTTCTCCTTGTGTAGCTGTGACCCAAACAGGACCTCCACTGGAGAGTCAGCATTGACCAAGCAAC